ACACTTTATAGCAATATACGGCTGCTCTGCTAATCACCACCGCCTCACGCTGCAGTCCTCAGGTTGGGAAGGCGTGGAGTCTGTTGGAAAGGAACATCTCTGGAACCCCAAGGGCTCTGCTGCAGAGCCCAGGCTGCGCAGGAACCCCTGTCCTCAGCTTGCCTCTCCCTCCAGTGCAGGTGTCATCTCTGCTTCTCCTTGACTCTTCCTCTGAGTGTACTCTCTGTGTGTTTGGCTCACACGGCAACTTAGGCATTGCTCTCAGACATCCCTGAATCATGAAAGCCCACAAAGCTTTAATGATCGCTGTGATGGCAAGGACTGTCTGTGAGCTAATGAGAAAAAGTTCAAGACCCAGGCATGGGGGCTGCATACGGTTATCAGTCAGCACTTGGGAGACTGAGGCAGGGGACCATGAGTTCAAGTTTAGCCTGACAATGTAGCAAGTTCAAGATCAGACTGGTCCACATGGTAAAAGCCTGTCTCTCCCACTGCCCCCAAGTCAAAACAAAACAAAACAGCACAATATTTAGTCTTAGTCCTAACGTCCTGGCACAGAGCTGGCAAAATCCTGAGTTTTCAGAGCGATAGGGTTATCTACAAGCAGCCCCTGTCAGTGACATCTGAGTTTATGTTGACGAGGTGACTAGGTTGGACTTCTAAGGTATTGGTCACAGAAAGACCAAATAATTAGAGGGTCAGAATATTCTGCCTCACCAACTGACCTCTGGGAAGATGAGGAGGCCTTGGGATTAAATTCTAAAAACTCTTACACTACCGGAGATTTGATGAACTGTCAGATCTGTGAACGCACCCTACTCCCAGCTCTAGGGGGCAGCAGTTCCCTCCTCCCAGCTCTAGGGGGCAGCAGCCCCCTCCTCCCCTCCTACAGTCTTTTCTCAGTGTATTACTCCTTTGTCTGGTCACTCATTCATGTCTTTTCTCACAAGTCAGCATTCATAAGCAATGGTTCTCCTTGAGTTGCATTATGACAAATTGTGTGTTGTGGAGGCTGTGGGAACCTCTGGTGTATATGTAAGTCAGCGTTCCTACCACTACCTGTAATGAAGGCCTGAAGCAGGGGTCTGGTGGGGCCTGACGTCATCTCTCAGTGCCTGAAGTAGGGGTTTGGGTTGGACAAATGGTTTGCTATGGAGAACCCACACATACAGGGTCCCAATTCATAGCATGAAGACTTTGTAGAACCCTCTACAGATGTTTCTAGATTTTAGTGACTACCTAAATGGCACCTAGATGTTCATTGGGGTTGCCATCACATCAGGATATGAGACCTTTTTCTTGTCTACAACACATGACTTGGGTCTTCCCTTGGTCCTATGCTCACACACCAAGAGAAGAAAGCATTCTCCAGGCATCCCACATCATGACGTCAGAGGGAGGCTTTCTCATCTCTAGCAGACAGTGTGCTCCTAGAGTGTCACCCCACATCACATGAAGCCCATCCAAGGATTTCCTCTATGCAGGTTATTGTTTTGTTTTTGTTTTTTAAGATAGTGTTTTGCTAAATAACATATCCCAGGCTAGACCAGCTCTCAATCTCTTCTTATCTCAGCTTCCTGTACACTGGAGTTACAGCTGTGTGCCGCAATACCCAGCCAGACATATTCCCCCCCCCCCCCCAGGAGGATGAAGTCTAAAATGAAATTTCACCTTCCTCTTGTCCTCCCTTCCCTTTCCAGTGGTGCTGGGGAGTAGAGCCCGGGATCTTGAGCATGCTCAGGAAAGGATGTAACACTTAGCTGCGTACAGCTCTTCCATTATGTAGGCTCCTAAGTTGTGTTCCCAGGGGCCTTTCAGTCTCTGCTCTGGGAACCTGTCTGACCACCTCCCCGTGTGTGCTCACAGATCCCATAAGACTCGATCTTCAATGACAGAGGCCCTCTCCTCAGATGTCTGTGTGATGGGGTGTGTACATCTCACCCGGAGGTGCCAGCATCCTCTCGATTCACCCATGCTACCAGGGAAGCTCCTTCCCCATGATCCTGATAAGTCTCAGTCTCCAGAGGTCTTTGTTTTCGCCATAGTCTTAGATAATACAGCAGAGACTAAACTATTTCAGGAGAGCCAGCTGGTGACCTGCAGAGAGAGGACCAACCCTCACTTTTTTTTTTTTTTCATGAGTGTGTGGAGCTGGAGGATCTGTGGCTGAAGGTTCATCCTGTGGGCATGGATTGTACAAAGGTCAGAGGAGTGGGGAGCTGCAGTGAAGACTCCGGTCATGAGGCTCCTGGGTGCCTCAGTGGCATCTTTACGGAGTCACTCATCACCGCCCATCTCTTCTACTGAGAGCCTGGGAGAGGCACATGTAGTAGAGGGTGTCATGTTGTTCTTAGCCCAGGCCTTCTCTGCTCTCTGCCCACACTCGGTCCCTTAGCCTCAACTCCAAATGCTAGCTCTCCATTCCCATGGTCGGTCCCAAAGCTGCAAGCCTGTACATGGTTCTTATCTGTGCTTCTTTCTAGCTTACTAATTTCAGTTGTTTTTGTGTGTGGTGCTGGCAAAGGAAGCTGGGGCCTCACACATTCAGAGGCAAGTGCCTTCTTCCACGGAGCTGCATTCAGGTCCCATCCCTGCTTCTGCAGCACCTTGGGCAGGGGGGGGGGGCCCTGCAGGAGGAGGCTGAAGTTTCTTGCTCAGAGGGTACTGTTGGGCCCCCTCCCACCTCCATGTGCCAGGCTTCCATGGGGAGAGGTGGTCAGGATCACAAGCACAGGGTTTTTAATCCTCACCACAAACAAAAGGCGTGGAGGCTGTTGTCTCCATTTTAAAGATTAGTTGTTCAAAGCCATTTTGTTATTAATGATGGAGCTAGAGTTGAACTCATGTCTACCAGTTGCCAACATTGCGCATTTTCCACCGAGTTTGGGTGCCTTTATGTTAGAGCCTCTAGGACAGATGGTATTATCTGTCTCCCTCTTGTTTATTGGTATTATCCCTCCCTCACCCTCTCCTCTTGTTTTCTTGCTCTCTCTCATCTACTATTGATCTATTATCTATCCCCCATCTGCCTGTCTGTCTACAATCTGTCTACCTATTGATTGATCTATCAGTCATCTGTCAATCTTTTTTTTTTTTTTAATATTTCTGGAGACAGGATCTCACGGTAGCACAGGCTGATCTTGAACTCACTGTGTTCCAGGCTAGCCTAGAACTGGAGAGCCTCCTGCCTCAGCCTCCTGAGTGCCGGGAGTAAAAATGTATGCCACCATGCCAAGCAAAAAGAAATTTAAAAATGTTTAGTATCCCCTCTCCCCCACTTTCTTTTTGAGAAGAATTATTTCTATGTACCCCAGGTTGGCCTTGGATGTGTGATCTTCTTTCAGTCTTTCCAGACCTGAGAGCATAAGTGTACAATGTCATGCTTAGTTCTGCCTTTTTTTTTTTAAAAACAAAACAAAACAAAACACGGATGACGTTGATTCTCTGGAACCTAGTTCTTCCAGTGCTGTCCCCTGGATTAACCACACTCAGTGGAAAACAAATCAGGTATGAAAGTGCAAATCCTATGGGAGGGGAAGTGCCTGCTTTGGGGTTCCGCACATCAAAGTGTTGCCCCTCTGTATGATGCCTCAGTGTTTCTTTAAAGGTGCAGCTCCTGAGTGCATCACAATCCTAGAGACAGGCTCAGATCCTGGGGTGCATGCTCAGATCCTAGAGACAGGCTTAGATCCTGGGGTTTTTGCTCAGGTCCTGAGGTGCATGCTCAGATTCTAGAGAACAGGCTTAAATCCTGGGGTACAGGCTCAAGTCCTAGAGGACAGACTTGGCTCCTAGAGAATAGGCTCAGATCCTGGGGTGCATGCTCAGGTCCTGGGGTGCAGGATCAGATCTTGGGGTGAAGACTCAAATCTTAGAGGACAGACTCAGATACTAGAGAATAGGCTCAGATCCTCGGGCACATGCTCAGATCTTAGAGGCAGGCTCAGATCCTGGGTGGGGTGCATGCTCAGAGCCTAGAGGACAGGCTCAGATCCTGGGGTGCATGCTCAGAGCCTAGAGGACAGGCTCAGATCCTGGGGTACATCCTCAGATCCTAGAGGCAGGCTCAGATCCTGGGGTGCATAGATAGGTCCTGGGGTGCATGTTCTTCACCCATGACCCAGTCTTGTAAAAAGCACAGGTGATTTTTTAGGGTTGCAAGGTTCCTAGATTACTCATCAAAGCCTGGGTGACTTGATTAGGCTTCAGACCCCTTGAGAGCCTGTGGGATAAGTTGCCTGAAGTAGATCCAGCACTTGGATGGCTTTTGGTTAGAGCCCTTGGGAGATGGTGGCAGGCCTGATTTGGCTACTCCTTTGCACACTGTCATAATTTCTGCCAACTTGATTCAAACCTAGACAGACCTGGGAAGAGGGAACCTGCACTGAGGAATTGCCTCCGTTAGATTGGCCTGTGGGGGTTTTTCTTGATGAATGATTGATGGATGGGGGTACTGTGAGCAATGCTATCCCTGTGCAGGGTTTTGTCTATATGAGAAAGGTAGCTGAGCAAGCCATGGGGCACAAGCCTGTCAGTAGTGTTCCTTTGTGATCTCTTTTTCAGTTCCTGCATCCAGGAACCTTGAGTTCCTGCCTTGGTTTTCTTTGACTGTGGACTGTGACCTGTAAGCCAAACACAGCCCTTTCTCCCCCAGCTTCGTTTTGGTCAATGTTTATTCCAGGAACAATAAAGTGAACTAGGACCCACGCCTTGCAGCATTTAAAGGTAAAGAGTTGACGGTGGAGACGGACGTGTGATGGCTGTGTGTGTTGGCATGTGTATTTGTGGACTATGTGTGGCTGAACGTGTGTTGACAATGTTGGAACGAGGCAGATTCCAAAGCAACAGCATCGATCTGCGTGTTTGCGTTGCTGAGGAGAGGGAGGAAGTGGCTATTGCTGGGCTTCCAGCCAGCTCTGCTGTCCCGGGTTCACACTCCCCGACAGCCTGTGAAGGCAGCGCTTATGGTCGGGATCACGCGTCTCTGGGCTGGGGCTCAGTCTGTGAGGAATCGGAGGCCTCAATGAGTTGCTGGAGTCCTCCTGGCACATCTCGGAGCCATGGGCTGCTGCCAGATCACTGCCTCCCAGACGAATGTGCGAGTGACTGAGCGCTCGAACTCAACCCAGAAGAGCTTAGAAAAAAAAGAAAGAAAAGATTCAAGGCAAATCTTGAGAGAGTAAGGGAAAATATGCTTTTTGTGAATTATTACTATTATTCTACCTTCTGGAAGCTATCCGAAATTTCCTTCTGTACTAAACCTGGTAGGGTTTCCTGCTATCGCACCTTCCTTAGGGCAGGGGTTTTTGGGTTGAGTCGTGGCCAGAGCAGAAGCAGCGTCTGCCCTGAGTACCGCTGGCTGGCTGGTCTTAGAAATGTCATTCATTTATTCCATCCCAAATCCACCAGGGGCACAATTACCATCCCATTAATACCCGGAAAGACCGCGGCTAGTTTGTATAGCTCAAAATAAACAGTACAAAATCCCAGCATCTTATGATCTGTAAATGAAACCAAGGCAGCTAATTTATGGTCTTCGGTGACTGCGTGAAGACGCGGAGCCCAGTGGAGCTGCTTCGAACTGTGGGGTGTTTCTTAGAGACCTCCAGCATCCACTGCAAGTTTATTAAGGACAGGAGCCAGACAGCGCTTCTGCCCAGTGTGCTTATTTGATTCTAAGGCTTTCGCTTTTCTACATTTGACCCAATGCAATATTTTCTTACAGAGCTGCGGTGCTGGGAGATTTTGACGGAATCCCACAGGGAGAGGCACAATTAAGAATCTCATGCAGCAGAGCATCCCTTTGTCCTTGTGATTAGAGGAAGTGAGGACATTCACCCTGGGCCAAATAGTGCTGATGTAGGTTCTCTTGAGTTTGGCTTTTTATGTTCATAGAACCGTATTTGTCGTTTTTTTTTTTTTTAAACTTGTCTCCTCACAAGCTGTAGGATTTTATTACCTCAGCATTATGAACAGTAAGGCACTGACTTTAGGATAACAACGATTGTTTTATCAGTAATCTGCTCTGGTGGATACCCTGACAATATTTCATACTTATCAGTTTTTTTTTAAATCTCTAAGGCCACCTCTACATAATTTACAAACACATTCTCATTTTAGTAGAAAATTTAAGAGAAGAGAAAAAAGAATTAATGAACCACCTCGTGGTGTATAGATAGAAATATCTAGGTAATCACACTCATGTTTGATTTGGCTTGATTGATTAATTAATTAAACATTTATTGAGCCAGGGCAGTGCTAGCTGCTACTTTGCTATGTCTGATGGTTGGGGACCTGAAAGGTAATTTGCAAACCTTGGTCCTTCCTGCAGAGAATCGTGGGAGGGGATAGCACCATGACCAACCGCCCTCCTTAGCTGGGAGAGAAGGGACTCTCTCTCACTTACCCCTGCCTTTAAACTGTGTGCCCCTGCGTGTCACAGGCTGACTGCCTGGTCATGACAGTGCTGGGGTATCAGGTCTCTTCATGTGCCTGGATGTGTGTGTGCTCAAGAATATTTGTGTGCGCATACATGACGACCGTAGATCAGGGGGTCAGAAACCCCACTTCTGTCACTGGGGGAAATGCTGGTGGGGATCAGATTGTGAGACGAACATGCCCTCTGTCGCCAGGCACTCCACTTTCAGGAAATCATCTTAAACAGCATAACCCCGTGCCCATGGTGCTAAATATTGCTTATTTCGTTTGTTCATTCATCAAACAGCCAGTGATTCTGCTGCCTTCCAGGGACTGTTCTGGGGACTCAAGAAAGGGCAAAGAAGAAGAGAGATTGGTTCTTGCTTTCCAGTACCCCGCGTTCTAACAAGGCAGGCAGTGATGAACATGTACAGGAGACTACAGAGCGGCTAACCCCTTCCTTCAGGTGAGGTCACAGCATGAAGACATCACACTCACCGGGTGTCCCAGTTTGCTGTCTATTGCCGCAATAAACACCATGGCCAAAAGCAACTTGGGAAGGATAAGGTTTCTTTCATTTTACACCCCCCAGTCGCGGTCCATTATGGGGTAGGAACTTGGAGGCAGGAACTGACGCAGAAGCCATGGAAGGACACGGCATACTGGCTTCCTCTCTGTGGCTTGCTCAGTTTGCTTACAACCCAGGACCATCTGCCATTGTCCACAGTGGGCTGGGCCCTTTCACATCAACCATTAATCAAAAAACTGCTCTGCAGATTTGCCTTCAGGCATCAGATGGAGGCAGTCCCTCAACTGAGGTTTCTTCTTCTCCTCAGATGTCTTTCCTATTGCTGTGAAGAGACCCCACATCCAAGGCACTTTGTAGCGTCCGCCAGCACTACAGACCGTTCGCGTTCGGGCAAGGGCCTGGAGATTCACACACACACACACACACACACACACACACACACACACACACAGAGACAGAGACACGGGTCATCCTTGAAACAAGAATGCCCCTTTTATTGTGTTCTAGGGCAGCTTATATAGAGATGCTTAACTGATAGCCACGCCCCAGCCAAACCCACCAGAAACCACTCCCCTGCCATCAGGAACTCCTGAGGGTCTTGTGCTCTGAGCGGCTGCAAACACAGGAAAACAAGCTGTTTTGCTCAGGAAATTCAGGGTCTGGGTGTCCACAGCCCCCAACAGCACTTTATAGAAGAAAGACTATACAGTTTTAGAGGGTGAGTCCCTGGCCAACATGGCGGGAGCACGGCAGCAGACATGGTTCCGGGGCAACAGCTGAGAGCTTACAGCCTTATCCACAAGTCGGAGGCAGAGAGACAGATAACTGGGACTGGCCCCAGTGCTCACTTTCCAGCGACACACCTCCTCTGTCAAGGCCACACTTCCCAACTCTTCCCAACAGTTCCACCAACTGGGGATCAAGTATTAAATATATGAGGCTATGGGGGTCATTCTCATTCCAGCCAGCACACCGGGTGTGTCTAGGTTTGCATCAGGTCACCAAAAACAACAACAACCAGCATACCAGGCAACAAACCCACCACTGCCTTGGTCTTGATCTCAGACTTCGAAGCCTCTAGTACTAGGAGAAACGGGCATCTAATTTTTCATTTGCTGCCGAGTTTATTTCTATAAAATCCTGGGTGGACTTATGATATATGTCCAAGCACCCATTGTTTCATTGCCAAGTATCTGTGATCTCTAACCCACCCATGATCGCTGAATTGGAGAGCAGTGCCATTGCATTCATAGCCTCCTTTCCACCAGGTATTGCAGCCCAGGGCTAAGACAGACCCTTCCCAGCTGCAGTCAGGTGGGATGATAGCCATGGCACTCACCCACCTCTTGCCCCACTGAGAATACGTGTGTGACCAGCACGGCTATGTGGCTGGAGGCGGCTATCTTGGCATAGAGAGGCAGGCACTGGAAGCACTCAGGGCTCAGGACTCAGCTGTATAAAACCCTGTTGTTTTGTGGGCTCTATCAGGATGCCTTCTCATGATCTGTTTGGGATGCTGCACCCGCACACCCTTCCTGCCACCGACCTATGGATGCCCCAGTGCTCTACCTTGTCTCTCTTGCCTCATGTCCAGATTCCTTGAGTGCCCCCCAGACAGTGGTGTGTACCTTGAAGGTGGCTAACAACATGTATATTAAGCCAGACTAGGGGAAGGCACACAGACGTGAGAATTTATGGGTGCATGGTAGGGAAAATAGAACACAAAGGAGATCCTTGGCATCTGGCCTGGGTGGGAGGGTCCCAGAATCCATAACTAGCCTGATAGGAAATGGTGTTTCCTGATGCAATGCTGTAAAACCTGGAGGCAGAGGTGTTTGCTTCCAGCGGAAAGAGAAAATGAAAGATGTCTTCACTACCAAAATGGTGTTTGCCTCTAGCATATAGGCTAAAAGACAGACATACAAAAATAACTATAGCTACAATAGCTTGTTAATGGATACCCAATATCAAAAGAAGTGAATTGGCTTGGCATGGGGGCACAAGCCTTTAGCCCCAGCACCTGTAAGATAGAGGCGGTGGGTCTCTATGAATTCCAGGGCTGCTTGGTCTACCAAGTAAATTGCAGGACAACCTGGACTACATAATGAGTTCCAGGACTGCCAGGGCTACACAGTGAGACCCTGTCTCAAAAAATTAAAGCGTCAAAAGCATAAAATACTGTTAAAAAGAATTAAAATGTGAAGATCTTTATTTAAAATAGGAAGGGACAAAGGAACTACAAAACAATTAGACCATCAGCAAAGTGATAATTGTCCTATCTAGCAACAATTTTTCTGAAATGAAAAAGGATTAAATTCTCTAACCAGAAGATGTGAAGTGGCTGAATAAAAATTAGAAATGAAGCCAGCTGTGCTGTGGTAGCCCAAACCTTTAATCCCAGGCCTTGGGAGGCAGGGGCAGGTAGATCTCCGAGTTCAAGACTGGCCTGGTCTACAGAATGAGTTCCAGGACAGCCAGGGCCGCACAAAGAAACCCTGTCTCAGAAAAAAAAAATCAAATCTAAGAGTATACAGAGTCTGAAAGTAAAGGGTGCAACTGGGCATTATGGGTGCACCCAGCCTTCCGGCACTTGGGAGATGAGGCAGGAGGATCAAGAATTTGAGGCCAGGCTGAGCTGAACAGTGGCAACTAGTTATACATGCTTCAGAAGCGTACGTGGCATCCTTTGCAGGATGTTATCATCACAAAAGAAGTCCTAATCAATGTAAGAAGATGGAAGCTATTTGAAGTATCTTTTCTGATGACAACAGTGTATGGTATAACTGGGAATTAGTCTCAGAAGCAAAGCTGGAAGAAAATCATAAATACTTGGTATCTTAGTCAATGTTCTATTGCAGGGAACAGACACCATGGCTAAGGCAAGTCTTATAGAAGAAAGCATTTACCCGGGGGCTTGGTTGAAACTTTATAGCATGAGTTCACAATCGTGAGAGTGGGAAGCAGACAGGCATGGTGCTGGCAAAGTAGTTGAGAGCTTTACCTCCTGATCCACAGGCAGCAGGCAGAGAAAGTGACTCTCGGCTTGGCAACGGGGTTTTGAAACCTCAGAGCCCACCCGCAGGGACACACCTCCTCCAGCAAGGCCACACCACCTAATCCTTTCAAACAGTTCCACTAACTGTGGACCAAGCATTCATATGTAGAAGTCCATGGGGCCATTCTCATCCAGACCCTTACATTGGGGAATGAAACAAAGTGGCCTTAGACAAGTGTCCTAAGTCCACCCAAGACACAAAATGGGCAGCATCAAGATAATTTAAAGCCATTTTCCTTGTCTTGGAGGCTTCTACGTCCAAGATAAAACTGATATCTTTTGTTGCCTGGGAGATCCTGATTTCTTCCCATTGTGCTGTCACTTGGAGGAGGGGGTAGCCTGCTCTGTGGTCTGTCTGTCTTTCTTTCTTTCTTTCTTTCTTTCTTTCTTTCTTTCTTTCTTTCTTTCTTTCTCTTTCTTTCTCTTCCTTCCTTCTTTCTTTCTTTCTTTCTTTCTTTCTTTCTTTCTTTCTTTCTTTCTTTCTTTCTTTCTCCTCCTCCTCCTTCTCCTTCTTCTTGTCAGGGCAGTGATTTTGGTTACCCTCAGGATTTAATCACCTGCTAAGGGCCCATCTCCTTTTATTACCACCTTAGGGGTTAGGATTTCAAGAGGTTATGTCCTAAGCATCAGTCCATAGCAACAAACAATGGCCTTAAAGAAGAATCAAAGGAGAAATTAAATGTTTGAGAAAGTGCTGGAGAGGTTTATCAGTGGTTAGAAGCACACAATGTTTTTTTAGAGGACCCGAGTTCAGTTCACAGCATCCAAACTAGCCAGCTTACAACTGTCTGTAGCTGCAGCTCCAGAGGGACCTGATGCTTCTGGCCTCCTTGGACATTGGCCCATATGCACACATACTTACACAAGCTCAGCCTGACAACCTGAGTTTGATTTCCAGGACCCAGATGTTGGGAGAAGAGAACGGATCCCTTCACGTTGGTCTATGTCTTCCGTATGCATGCTGTGACACACATGTGCCCCTCCAGCAGGCAATACAACTGGGTGAATAAATGTAATCAATTAAAAAAAAGATTTCAAACAACCCAATTTTATACTTCAAAGAACTAGAAAAAGAACATTAACCAAAGGAAGTAGAAGGATTAAAGATTAACTTAGAAATAAATGAAGTCACATCTAGAAAAAGATCAGAAAATAATCATAAATGAAATAAGATTTTGCTTTAAAAAAATAAATCAAGTGGATTGCCATTAGCTGGATTGAGGGAAAAAAGAGGACAAAATCAGAAGTGTAAAAGGAGGCATTAAAACAGATTCCACAGAAACATGAAGGATCACAGAGAGTGTTGTGTGTGGCCTGTCATGTAATTGGATCCCACAGAAACATGAAGGATCATAAGAGAGTGTCGTGTGTGGCCTGTCATGTGCAAGAGCTGAATAACTCACCGTAAGTGCATAATTTTCTAATGTGTACAGTGTACTAAGGCTGAGTTATGAAGAAATAGAAAATATGAACAGAGCAGTAACAAATAAGGAAATTGAATCAAATGCATAACAAACAAAACCATGAAAGCCCCAAATCTCCCAAGAAAGAAAAGGCCAGGACCAGACGGTTTTACTGGTGAATTCCACTAAAGAGGAAAGACCACTCAGGTGCATTTTATGAGGTTGGCATTATCCTGTTCTCAAAGCCAGGCAATGACACTGTAGAAAAGAAAATGACTGACCAATATCATTAAAGTTAAATGCCAGAGTCCTCCACCAAAAAAATCTCAGTAGACTGAATTTAAGAACACATTTAAGCATACACTATGATCAAACGGCTCTGATCCCTGTGACGCAAGGATGGTTCAATATATGCAACTCAGTTAACATGCAAAGGATAAACACTGGGTCATTGTCTCAGTTGGTATAGACCC